TGGTCTCTGGAGTCACAGACCCTCCTTCTGCTCTGTGTTCGTTGCTGAAATCTGGTGGGTCCTGCCCGTGGGTGCTGACAGCTCTCGGCTTGCAGCCTGGCTGGGTGCAGGGTTCGGGTGCTGTGTTATTAAACACAGACAGAGAAATGCAGCTATTGTAGGGAAGAGCCTTGCCAGCCCAGCTATTGCACAGTGCTCCCCCCGAGGTTTGGGAGCTGCCAGACTCTACAGCAGCAATTGCTTCCCCCACCCAGATCTGGATTATTGTTTGCAGATACCGTTCCTGGCTGCCACCTGGTCTGGTTGATAGTTTGCCCCCATTTAGCTGGGAAACCATAAACCCTGCTCCGAGTGGCCAGCACCGGCTTTCCAGCTCCCCAGTGGTGTGAGCACAGCCCCTTCACCTCTCCGGGGCCTGCCAGCCTGGGTGTTTGGGGCCAGAATAGTTTTCCGTCGGATCAGTGAACTGAGCTGACTTGCCATCGTTCATCCTGCCCCTGGATGGGACACGGGAGAGTGTGGCTGTGGGCACCAGCATGAGGAGAGTGTGTGTGGTGGTAGGACTGTGGCTACTGCAGTCGTGCAGGCTTTGGTACAACCTGCTTTTTCTTGATTTTTTTCTGCTTTTTTTTTTTTTTCCTAAGTATCATGGGTAACCTCAGTCACTGGCTTGTGGGAAGGGAGCAGTTCTGGGTGGTGTGGCAGTGCCTGGCTGCAGCCCTGTGCCTCGATCCCAGGCCACACTGCCCCTGGAGAGGGGTTTGAATGGGGGTTGATGGGGACTTTTCCTCCAACCAGAACTGAATCCAAACCAATTCTTCTAACATTTCTATCAAGTCTGATCTGCAACTGAATCAAAACATTGCTTTCTAGCCCTGACTCAGTTAAAGCCTGGCACAGAACAGGAGTCAGCTTTACCTTTGCTGGTCCTGTATCAGCCCAGTCCTGCACACCCCTCAAAGCTCCCGCTGCCTCCGCTTCTCCCAGACCCGGGCTGGGTGTCTGCCTTCCTGGCCAGCCTGTGCCCCCAGCTCTCCCTCCCTGCAGCCCCCATGTCCTCTCACATGCCTTTGGTATTTACCAGTTTATTACTGGTCTCAACTGGAAGCTAACCAAAATTATGTCAGTCATAAGTATGCTGCCTGTCACTGAATTGGAAATACTCTGATCTATAAGGTGAGGTCACAGCCCCAGCCCTGGACATCTCCTGGTATGAACATGGTGACCATGATCTTGTCCTGTTAAGGACACACATCTAACTGGTTGCCACTGGGCTTCCCCTGCTGGGTTTGGATTTGGTTTCCCTCCTCTCCCTGCACACAGCAGTTGCAGAGTATTGCTGTGAGTTGTGAAACGCCTGCCGGGGTCTGCTCCAGCAGTGGCTGCTCCCCAGCAAGGCACATGGTGATCCCAAATATGTGTGATGGCCACCTGCGTGGGGATGTGGGAGCAGCTGTGCACAGCCCTCTCCGCTGTGGGCAAGGGGGCTGTGGGCACAGCCCAGTCCCCTAGGATCTGTTTTGAATCATCTTCAGGGTCTTGCAAAGCCCTGATGTGTTGTGCAGGGATGAGGTGTGAGTGTCCAGTTTACATTCTGGTGGTAACATTTTTTTTTTTTTTTTTTTTTTTCCTCCAGACTGCTCTCAGTGCTTTTTTCCAAGAAACAAACATCCCCTACAGCCACCACCATCAGATGGTAAGTGCTTTCCCACCTCTCCAGCGCTCGCCCGGGGCACAGCACCAGCTGGCGGGCGCATCGGGCTGTTGCTGGTGCTCAGCTTGCTGCCTCGCAGCTCCAGGAGTGCAGGCAGGGAGGTCTGGCCGGGCGCTGCCAGAGCTGCCTGCCAAGGAAGGTTTTCCTGGAGAGCAGCCGGGGGTGGCATAGCCTGTCCTAGGCAGTGGGACAGTGGGTCTGGGAGTGCCTTCAGAACCCTGCAAAGGAGTTGGGGCTGTTCCTCAGAGAGGGATGGTCCAACAAAGGATGCTTTGGGCATGGCCAGCAGTCCAGATCAGCCCCAGCGTGGCGGAGGGAGGCTCGGGGAGCAGTCCAGAGAGCCCAGCGTAGGCTGTGTAAACACATGCGCGGATATGTGCGTGCTCCCCACCCCGCAGCCCAGCTGCACATGTGAATCCTCATGTGCTCGCTAGAGCAACTGAGCGTGCAAACCCCTGGAGCCTTGCTGGAGCTTGCCTCTGGAACGGCGTGCACAGCGGCTGGATGTGTGTAAACACAAGAGAGTGTAAGCACGCGTGGGTGCTGCCTGCCTCTGCACTCACCCAACTGTCCCCAGGCTTGGTCACTTAACGCTTGTGCCCCAGCACCTGTAATCTGCTTGGGCAGATGTGTCTTGGGAATTTGCTGGCTGCTGTGGCCTCATTTGACTCTCCAGGACAATTGGGGATTTGGAGCGTGCAGTAAGTGTGCAGAGCCAAGTGCCCGGCAGGGCCTGAGCGTGCCCAGCCTCCTGTGGGGTGAGAGCTGAGCCTGAGCCTGGTGCCTGCTGAGCTGAAAAGCTGCAGGTCAAGAGTGGCACCAGCAGGTCGTGGAATTGAGGAGGTCCCCGGCTTGGCTGGGTGCAGGATCAGGTGCAGTGGGGTCCTGTCTGTGCCCTCTGACAGGAGCTCTCACCACAGCATTAGTTTTCAGAGCCTTAAATAACTGCTGCTTGCGGACAGCATGGTCAGCAGGGCGCAGGCCCGGGGGCTCCCTGTGCTGCAGCAGTTTGGGCAGAGGGGTCTTGTGCTGGGCCCTGGTGGGAGGCAGAAGGTAGAGACCCCACCCCACCCTGACCCCGTGTCTCCTTCCCGCAGATGTGCACTCCCGCCAACACGCCGGCCACGCCGCCCAACTTCCCCGACGCCCTCACCATGTTCTCCCGCCTCAAGGCCTCCGAGAGCTTCAACAGCAGTAGCCCCGTGGCCTCCATGGCGACCTCCCCGCCGCCCCCGGCCCCGCCGCTGCCCCAGCACGGGGCCTTCAACCCCACCTGGCCCGCAGCTTCGCCCCCCAGCCAGCAGCAGAGCATGTGGACTCCGGCCCCGCCGGCGCAGCCTGCGGGCTGGCCAGCCGCTGTCTCCCAGCAGTCCACGGCAGAACAGAAGGCCAACGTGACCATGGAGGCAGAGAGATGAGGCCGCGGTGGAGAGCGAACGTGGCGGGGACCCCTGCGTATAAATATATATATATTTTCCCCCCCCCCTCCCTGAAGAGGAGAGGAACTCTGCTGCCAGGGCATCTGGCAGCCGCCGAGACACATGAGCAAATAGCTGCCTTGCATGGGTTTGGTTTGAAGTAGTTTTTACTTGTCCTCGAGCTGAACAGAGCTCCCCAGAGACAGCGGGAGGCTGCGTGGGACGCGGGACCGGTGCTGGCCTCTGCCAGGGACCCTGCTGCTGCCGGGCTCTCGGGGAGGGAGCACCCCCTCCTCTCTTGGGACACCGGAGTTTGCATGCGAGTGACATTTACGGAAGAGGTCCCTTCTTCACGGTCCCCTGGGCCACCCTACCAGGCAGAGTGGGTTGTGCCTGAATGTTTTCTCCCCATCCCTTGGCCCCACTCAACCGGGTGGGGGGCAGGCACCCCACGCGGCTTATTTTTTGTAAGGGAGGGAGAAAGCAAGGGCTGTTCCTGCTCGGCCGCAGCCTCCGCCCTGCATGTGCCGTGCTCGCTGGTGAGCAGGGCTGGGGGATGCCGGCTCCCCGGAGACGATGGGGAGCAGGGGGTGGGGAGCAGGGGGTGAGCCACCGGTGGCCCGGCTGGGCCAGCATGCCCTCCCCTCCACCTCCTGGGATGGGGTTTGCCCTGGGGCTGTTTGCATGACACAGTGTAACCCTAGAGACTGGGATCGTTTTTAACCCCTCTGTTCTTTTTCTCCCGGCGGCTGGAAGTCTCTCCGGATGCGCCACAGCCGCTTGCAATACATGCTCTTCTGCTTTGAACCCGGTGTCTTTGCTTTGTTTGCAGCAGCGGTGGGACGCGGGGAAGGCTGGCCTGGGCCCCGGGGTGTTTCAGGATCCCCTCTCCGCGTGGCTCTGTGCGTGCCGTGCCTCTGAGCTGGGGCTGGCCATTGTGTGCTGCTCCAAACACCCCGTCCCAGCCGTGAGGTGTGTACCGGGGCTCAGCCCCAGCAGGAGCCAGCCCAGCTCTGCCCCACCACATCAGCTGTGGATGTGAGATCCCACCAGGAGCAGGGGCAGGCTGCTGGCAGGGCTGTGCTGAGACCTCAGGCTCCCTGCGTGACACCCACAGGTCCTGGGTGTCTTACTGTGACCTGGCTCCTATCCCCTCTCCACCAGAGGACAGGAGCCACATCCCTCAGAGGTTGCCATCCCTGCCGAGCCCTCTCCCTATGAGGCTGGGCCCCTGCATCCCTGTGCTCACCAGTCAATAATTAATTTGAATCTCTTATTTGTGTTGCCAAAATAAACACTGTAGGAGTAATGGTTTCACCCAGGCTGCCTCTTGTACACCCTCAGCAGAGGCTGGGAGCAAGGGCTGGAGCTGGTGCTGACCCTCCCTCGTGAGCTTTCCTGCGTGGGCTTGTGCTGGAGCTGTGTGCAGTCCTGCCCCACTGAGGTGGACTGGGGCGAGCTGGGGCCGTGGGCCTCATGTCCCAGTTACAGTGACATGAGCATGTTGAGGTCAGCATGGAGTCCTGCTGGGAGTGGGGGTGGCCCATGGGGCAGGGGGGTGTGCAGCATAGAGCCCACCCAGGGGAGACAGAGACGGGATCTCTCCCCAGCCTTGAAGGGAGGCACCTGCCCGTGAAGCTTCACGGAGACTGGGGTGATGGGGAGGGGAACCTGCCTGTGACTGTCCCAGGGCCACCAGGAACCAGAGGGTTGGAGAATCCAGGACCAGACCACAGACCTGAACATCTGACTGGTCAGAGAGAGCTCACAGGGAGGTATGGCACAGCCCAAAAGCATCAGGCTCTGGTCGCCGAGTCCCCAAGGATGCCCCACATGCCCTCACGAGCCCAGGGACTGTGCAGGAGAGGTGACAGAGGAGGGAGCATCTTTATGGCCCACAGTGTTACCCCCACGGCAATGAGTGGCGGCCAGGGCAGTGTGGCCCCTGCCTGAGGCCAGGCAGCGCAGCCCTGGTACTCCTGCCCCCCTCCCCAGATCCCCACACCATTTCACGGCCCCCTGGCCGGCTCAGACGCCCACTGTCCTGCTGCCACCAGTGCCAGCCTGCCACCGGTCCCCCAAGGAGCTTGTCTTTGTCCGCGTAGCAGCGCCTGCAATGCAGAAGGACAAACAGCCTTGTATGGAGCACGACACCCCCAGCGATACCCCTGGGAGTGCTCAGCAGTGGGCTGAGCCCACGAGGCAGGGCTGGTGGCCCGGGGGACACCTGGGACAAGCACTCACATGAGTATGGGGACACGTAGTGGCTGCCATACTTGGGGACGCGGCGAATCTTCTCTGTGGTGTGCCGGCAGCGGGGCTGGGGGGTCTTTGTTGCTTTGGGGTGAGAAGCAGAGAGTCTGTTAGCGCAGGGAGATGCGAGCCTGCTGATGGCTCAGCCCCGGTGGGGCACTGAGCCATCCCAGGCGCTGACGGTGGGACATGCTGGGTCGGGTGGCTGCACAGCCTGGCCAGAGCTAACGCGGGGCCCCAGGGCTGCTCCCCTACCTGGGAAGTCTTTGTCCATGGTGACAGTCCTGTTGGCAGCTGGCGAGCTCAGCCGGCCCTTGTAGACCACCCTGTTGATGCCCAAAATATCCACTTCTCCCTAGAAGGAAAAGCAGCTGGTGAGGTTGGAGGGGCCCCGAGGCTGCGCCCAGCAGCACACCCACCATCCCAGCCTGGGTGGGCTCAGCAGGTTTCCAGAGCACAGGGACACACGGGGATAGGGCCTTACGTTCTTGCAGATGAAGTCTGCCGGGTGTCCGCAAGAACAGATGGTGATGAGGGAGCTGGAGGTGGGCAGTGGCCCGGCAGGACTCGCGGGACCCCGGCTGGCCCTACCACTCCCTTCGCTCTCCCTGGGCAGGGAGCACCTACATTATCCCTCCTGCCCAGGGAGAGGGACCCCAAAGGGAGAGGGAGGGACATGGTTGGTGCCTGGCAAGCCTCACCTCGCCGGCAGCCGCTGTATCGGGCAGTTGGAGCCGCAGGCGCTGGCTGGCTGGGGCTGGAGGAGCTGACTGTCCTTTTGGATGGTCACCAAGTGCCTGCAGATGAGGATGTGAAGGCAGAGTCAGGCAGTGTCTAGTGGAAATGCAGCGTGGGGGGGTCTGTCCTGGGGGAGATGCACACTACTCACGGCGCCCGAGTCTCGGCCAGGGGTCTGTCACAGGAGATGCACTTTACTGGATCAAAGAGCTGCCTGCAGCATGGGGGTGGCTGCTGAGCGCCCCGCCGGCACCCCAGGGATGACGCGAGGTCCCAGGGGTGGCTGACACCCCGTGGGCAGGGTGGGACAAACAGGGTCTGGATGGGACAGCACGGGAAAGGGATGGGACAGCAGAGGAGAGGACAGAAGGGGACAAGGTGGGATAGGATGGGACGCAGCCGCCCTTACCTCTTGAAGCCGGCGCCATGGTTGGCACCGCAGCAGGGTCCCTGGCAGAGGCACTGCTGGGTGAGCTTCCACACCGGCTCCAGCTGTGCTTGCAGGGGAGCCAGCACTGTGCAGTCCAGCTGCAGGAGGGGCAGAGGGTCTCCTTGGGACACCAGGCCCATTTTGAGGGATGCTGTTGCCCCTGAGGGACACTGGGGACACCCTGGGACACATAAGCAGCCATGACACAAGGACCATCATCTCTTGGCATTGGCAGATTCGGGACTCGCCCTCCCCGTGCAGGGATGTGCTCCGTGGCCTGGTCCATCCCCACCACCCTCCCTGGGTGACACTGCTACCTTGGAGTCCATCTCACTGAGGAAATTCTCCAGGGCTTTCTGCCTGTCCTGCTCCATCAGGGACATCCTCTGCACCAGGTCCTGCATCATCTCGCTCAGCTGGACTATGGCTTGTTGCAGCTCCTCCTGGCTTGCTTTGGTCTCCAGCACAGCCTTCTCTGCTTTCTGAGGGGGGCATGGTGTCAGCCACCCCCTGCAGATCCCCAGCCCTGCCACCATCCCCGCGTGCCTTTGCTTGCTCATAACACCCAAGCCCTTCTCCAGCAGCACCTTGTTCATGTCCGAGTGCTCCACCATCCCACGCAGGCTCCACGCCTGCCACTTGCCCCCAGCCACCCACCCTCCCCTTCCTCGGAGCCACTCATTGTTCATCCCCAGCCCCACCAGCATGGAATGGCCACAAAATCCTGGCACGCTGAGCTTCTTCGGAGTGGGGATGCCCCAAGTCTGGGCAAGCCTGCACCCAGCCTTGCTCAGATGCCAACCATGGCACAAGTGGCTCCCGAGCTGAGCCCGGGGCTCTGCTCACCTGGGTGTTCATGGTGTCACACCACAGCTGCCCCGCGGTTTCCTGCAGCCTTGTGCACTGCTCCTGCAGCTGCCCCACCTGGCCCAGCACCTCCCTGCTGAAATCCCGCCCCTGGGGAGGACAAATGTGGCCCTGGGTGAGGAACAGGGTGCCTGCAGGACTCAGGGGAAGCAGGGAGATGTGCTTATGGGTGGCCACAGTGAGTGGCTAGCAAGGACACCCCGAGAGATGCCCAGTGTGCCCCTGGCGAGCAGGGTGTGGGGCTGCAGCCCCCAGGCCCTTGGGCAGCCCCACACCCTTGGGCAGGTAGGCACCTTCTCTCCTCCATCCTGAAGTTGCCTCATCTCACTTGGCACCTTCTCCGATTGGGCAGCCACGTCCTCCAAGGTCCCCGAGTCGGCTGAAAACAGACACCAAAGCCAGCTCCTGCAGACCCCCAGCATGGCACCATCCCAAGCCCAGGTGGTTTTATGGCTGCAGAGACCCCCCAGCGTTGCTGCCAGGCCCTGGGCAAGGCCAGCACCGAGGTGTCACATAAAGCAGTCCCCATCAGCCATGCCAGCGTGGCTGGGAGCGAGGCGGAGGGACAAGGGAGCTGCAGTGGCTCGGGGACCCAGATGGGATGGCCGACTGTGGCCCTGGCGTCCATGGGTCCTGGCCAAGGTCTGGTGGCACAACCTGGCATGGTGGCCAGCATGGTGGGGATGTCAGTGCTCACTGTTTTGCTGGAGCTGGCTCTCACAACGGCTGACATGGGTCCCCACAGCCTCATGCTGCTCCAGCAGCCAGCTCAACCTGCACGAGGCTTCACGGGCCAGCTCCCGCGAAGGCTTGGGACCGAGCTCCTGGCCAGAGAGCTTCTGAAATGAAACAGCCCCTGAGGTTTTGGGGAGAGAGAAGAGCCTCATGCTGTCCTGGAGTTGAGAAGCATTGCCAGCCCCCAGCAAAGGAGCCTGGCATCCAGGAGCCTGCACACACCTTGACAGCGGGCACCCCACAGAGATTGCTCCTGCGCAGCTCCTGATGCACCTCCACCTGTGACCGGGAGAGAGATCAGCCCTTCCACCCTGCTCTGGGAAGGGAGAGCCTGGGCAGCCCCTGGCATGGGGAGGGAGATTCCAAACCTTGCCACCACCATCCTGTCGCCAGCCCTGAGGGTCTCCCAGGGCCTCAAAATCTAGAGGGTAAAATCCTGCTGGCACTGCAGGAGGCACAAGAGCAGTGGAGGTGGCCAGGACACCGGGACATCCAGGGAGAGATGTCTCTGCTCTGGTGGCTGTGGGGGTGACATGGACCCTGCCAGAAGAATCTAGTGGGGCCAGATGCTTGCCCAGGCAGGTTACCACAGCAAGGGCAACCCTTGGGAGGCTTGAGTGCATTTTTCATAACAATTTGCAAAGCCTGACCTTGGACAGCTTGGGGACAGTCCCCAGGACTGGATGCTGAGTGCCCCTGAGCACGGTGCCACAGACCCTCTGCCAGGGCTCCCCCCACTCACCAGTTGATCCAGGATGCTCTGCAGGAGGTGGCCGTGCTCATCCTGCTGCACCGACTGCTCCCGTGCCTCCTCCAGACCAGCCTGTTAAACAGAGGCACCGGGGGGTTCAGCATCCGCAGGGGTTGGGAGTGGTGGAGATCAACGTCAGCAGGAAGGGGCAGGGATTGGCAGCACCCAGCTGGGCTCCGTGGCTGCAGGCAGATCCCACATCTCCCAGCTTGGCCTCGGGGTGGGAGGGAGCTCAGGCTTGGGACCTCATCCCTGTCACCCCCTTGCCATCTGTTGTCCCCAGGGAGCCCAACCCCCCTGCCAAGAGCTCTTCAGCAACTGTCCCAGCTCTGCGCATGCACCTTCTGGAAATTGTCCTTCAGGAGCTGCAGCTCCTCCTGGAAGCCCTCGACAGTGGTTTTCAAGGAGCAGATGGTGGTGAGCATCTCCTGCAGCATGTCCATGACCTGAGGAACACGGGTTTGGGCAGTGATGCTGGTTCCCCACAGCTCTGGGGGACATGGAGAGAAGGGAGGCTAAGCACTGTGCAGAGAAGACTGGGGCTTGTGGGTGTCTCTGGGACCCAACAGGGCTGCCACAGCATTGGCCACATCTGGCCAGCGCATGGCCATGCCCATAGAGCTCCCCCAAACTGAAGTGAAAGATGTTCAAAGGGGACAAGCATCCCAGCTCCATCTTCCTCACCCTGGCAAAGTACTGTCACCTTTTCCCTTTGCCCTGGACAGCTGGGGACAGCCTGCCTGCGAGGTCGCACCACTGTCATCTGCAGCTCAGCCACTTGCTGTGCTGCAGGGAAAAGAGATGATGAGGAGCCTATCAAGGCTGCTGCTGTTCCTGCCGGGGGAGTGGGGGCTGTGTGCTCCCGCCCAGGGTGACCCCAGCCCCCAGGCACAGCTGCCAGGGCAGGATGGGACTCAACAGACCTCTATTTCAGAGCAAATATCGCTGGTGCCCCAGGGACACGTGAGAAGTGACCAAAACCACCTTTGACCAGTGGCTGTGCTAAAATAGTGTTCTTTAATTAGTCCCCACAGTGGAGCTGGGGCCACTGGAGCCAGAAAGGTTCCTCTGCACTTTGCTGAGCTCCCTGGTCCTGGGGCTGCTCAAGTTTAGACTCTTGAGTGGGAAACACACCATGTAACACGGGCACATCACTGTGCAGGCCAGGACACTGTGTGCAACAGGATGTCGTGTCGGGTGGGACACCGCGTAGTGTACAAGATGGGGCAGGTAAGTGCATGGGGCAGGACACGGTGGAGGGCAGGATGCCTCCCAGAGCAGGACATCGTGTAGGGCAGCACAGGGCACAGGGCAGGACCCTCTGTAGGGTGGGATGCAGCACAGGGCACAGCCTGCCTGTGACACTCCGTAGGGCAGGACCCGGCAAGCCAGCAGCCCAGCAGCGGTGTGACACCAACCAGAGGATGGCTTCTCACCTTCGTCATCCCCTCCTCGGCCACTTCCATCCTCTTCGTCAGCTGCACCATTTGCCACTCCTTGCTGGCCGCCATGCCAGGGGCTGGCGGCTCCGCCGTGCCCAGGGGCCCGCTGCTGTGGCTCGGCTGCCCCTGCTGATGGAGAGAGCCAGGCTTCCCTCGGGGCGCGCAGGCGGAGGGCTCCAGGACACCCCTCTCGTCTTCCCCGGCCCGCCCCGCGGCCTCCGGCGGGTGGAGGTGCTCCAGGAGGCCGCGCAGGAGGCCGCGGACCAGGGGCCCACCGCCGCCGGCCGTGCCGAAGGCCATGTCCGCCAGCTCTGCCAGCGTGATGGTGACACTCATCCTGCCCTGGCCCCCCTTACCCCCCCAGGGGCGCCCGGGGCCGGGGACGCTGCCGGGGGGCCTGGGGCTGAGGTCACAGGGGCCGTTACCCGGAGATGGCCCCGGGGTTCTGCCCGCCGGGTTGGGGGGGGGCGCAGCCCCGGCCTGGCGCGGCCCGGCGCGGGGGGGGGGTGCAGGCCGCGGCCCCCGGCGCGGAGAGCGGCGGCCCGGGCCCGCCCCGCCGCGGCACCGCCCGCCGCCCGGCCCGCCCCGCCCCGCAGCCGGCAGGTGCCGGAGCCGCCGCCGGGAGCCGGCAGCCGGTAGGTGCTTCCACACGAGGCCGAGGCTGGGGGACGGGCGCTGGGCCCGGCTGGGCCCCGCAGAGCGGCGGGGAGGGAAGGGAAGGGAGGCTTGGCGGGGCCGGTGTCCCCCAGCCCCGGGTAGGCTGCGGCGGCCGCCTGGCAGCGGGGCCGGCCGGAGGCGTGGGGACACCGAGCGTGGGGCTTGGGGGGAACGCGCAGGAGCCCAGCACCATCCACCGCTGATAACAGGGAAGAAAAGAAGTGCCCCCCCTAGCTCCTCCGGGCAGAGGGAAGGTCTGCCGGGGCTGGGGCGTTTGCTGCGGAGCCACGCGTCCGGGGGAGAAGAGGTATGGAGAGACGGTAATACAGGCCGGGGAGAGGAGGAGGCAGCCCCGCTCTGGGACCGGCCTTTAACGCTGTCTGTAGCGCCGCAGGGTGCCACTGAAATCTTGCAAAGCTTCAGCTTTGTACCCTCAGCAATGCAGGGAAGGGTTGGGACAGGAGGATCGAGGTGTCCCGGAGGGCTGGAGCAGCGGGTGCGGGATGAAATTTAATCGGATGAAAAGCGAGGTCATGTACTTGGGAAAAGACTTTCCGCTGTAAGGCGAGCGCTCCAGCCCAACTGAGGTCATGCCAGCTTGTGGAGAGGACGGCTGGGAGCTGCCAGCGGGGCACAGCTGTGAGAAGAGCAAATACAATCCGTTACCCAGACAGATCCCCGGGAGAGGAGGGAGCCAGGCCTAGGTACAAGCGTGTGTGTTTCCAGTCATCCCTGCTCAAGAGAGATGAGCTGGGGCTGGAAATGCCTGTTCAGTGATCAGGAACGATGAGCCAATTTTAGAGGAGCTGAAAGAAGCTTCACAAGCAAGAAGAGAAATTATGATGATGGGGATGGTATTGTCCATCAGCACATTGGCAGTGTGAACCCTGTGAAACAAGCTAATGGGTGACGCAGCACAACAACAAATAACCAATCCATAAATGTTAGCGGGAGACTGGGAGGTCTTTAGCCATGAGAGCGGTGAGATCTTGGTTCTGCCTCCCAAGGGGACAAGAGAGGCAGAAGGGTGGGAGCTGTTAAGGCAGCGTTCAGTTGCTTTATGAAAAGCACAGTGGGATGGGGTTGTTGCTGAATGGAGGGATGAAGCTTGGGACCCTGGGAGTAGCTCCAGGGGAGCGGGAACAGGCAAGCTGGGATGGACAGTGCAGTGCCAACGTCCTGTGGATCATCCCCGGGAGTCACACTCAAGGTTAAACTTCTCCCAAGTCACTCCAAGCACAGGTGTGTGCCCCTTGGCCCAAGGCATCACTAGAAAAGCTGCTCAGAAATGGTCTCCTTGCACCAGTGAGAAATGGTGAGGGGACTGGTGCCTGTCGCGTTCCAGGCTGAGCCTAAAATATCAGGTGGTAGGCTAGGTCAGGCACAGTGATTTTAAGTAGAAGTGTTTTAATTTATAATAGTTTTGGCCTGTATGTAAAACTTGCTGAGAAACACTTTGTGAATATGCGAGATACCCTCCTGTTTGTTCCCTTTCAGCCAGCGTGCTTGAAATTGGGCTTTTGTTTCAGCAGGAGCCCTTCTGCTTCCCAGAATATGTGACTGGAGTAGGCAGTAGGGGAAACTAGAGTGAGTATTATGTAGCATAATATATAACCATAGCATGCCATTCATTCATTTTTAGGAACTAAACAAACTCAGGTCAGCGTGGAAAGCGCAGGCTGAAAACTTCCCTTTCCCAAAGACTTCTCTGTCTAAATGTAATGATGTTCTTGTGCCCCAGGAAATCCCTGGAAGCGTTTAGCAATGTAGCTGCTCTGTTCTCCCTAGGCATTATTTGAGGAAGGAATTCCTGCTTGGAGGTAAGGAGGCAACAACTTTAGGAACTGGTGCGAGGCATTCTAGTGGTGTGGCTTGAGCACAGCTGGGGGATGAGGCTTTAACAAGGGCAGGGTGATGGAACAACGTCCCCAGAGTGATGCCAAGTGGAGCAAACATGCTCAGTCCTCCCAAGCTGCTGTTGTAGGGGTGGTGGGGCTGCGGTGGCTGTGTCTGCTCAGGGCTGCACTTGAGCAGGTGCTGGGAGAGCGGATGTGTGTGTTCATATGCTGACTACCAAAAAATCTTGCCACAGATGTGACTGGGACAGTTAGAGAGGGACCATCTTTTTCAGAACCTGAGCCTTCCCTAAGAAGACGGAAGACCGTGTTGAGTTTCTTGTTGTGTTCCCTCAACAGGTCTTGCACCTGAAATTCGGTTCCTTGTATTTTTCTTCTGACTGGAGCTCCGTCTCAGCTGCTGTTATGAAAGGAAGGAAGGTGTCTCTGCCAGCGCCTTGTTTTGGTTTACGAGCACGTTTTTGTAGCTCACGTCCTAATCAGCCATGCTTTCTGTGCGTGGGAGATAACGGCAGCCGCTTTCCTTCTGGGTGAAGCACAACTGGCAGATAACGCTCTGGGAGCGCAGCTAATGCACTCCTGTAGCTGAAGGGCATTCAGTGAGGGGCCAGACTAGAGCCTGCCCACAGACCCACACTGTGTTTCAGGGGATTTTGGGTCCTTGGCATGGTGTTGCCATCTACAGAAGTGTTCCCATTGCCAGTGTTACTCGCCACCATAGCAAGAGAAGGGATAGAAGTAATTTTATTATGTAAAATACTATCGTTTTCCCCTTTCAGATGTGAATTTAGCAGATAAATACTTTAATTTAAAGGATGTGGTTGATGCAGAGGTCTTCCAGTACGAGGATGAGTGGTTTTGGAAAGAGATACACAGACTTCTAGTATCTGCTCTGATCCAAGACCAATTTTTTGCTTATGGGTAAAGAGAAGTACAAAACTGGGTGTTCTACGTCTGTTTGTGGTACCATTGTAAAGCCCTACGTTTGATGTCTTATAATTGCTTTAATCAGGAGGGAGTATTCTAGATTGAAAGAAGCCAAGTTTTTAAAACTATTTTTAATAACGTTTTTTGTAGGGTCTGCAACAGGGCTGTACTTCACTTTTACTGGCATTACCCCAGCTCTGTACCTGTGCTGAATGTACCGTCAGTACTGTGATAGTTTTTCTGTGTGCAGGCTCACATTTACTCAGCTTTGCACCCAGCCGAGGAAAAGAGTGATGGCTGCCAGGTGAGACAAGGAGGAAATAGTATTTGCATAATAAGGAGATTAAAATAATAATGGAGGCAGCGGAACTGAATATACCTTTGAGCTTCTAGAGATCCAAACTGCAGTGGGAAGGTGTTCTCCCAGACTGATCTGTGCAAAGCTGCTGAAAACAGGGAGGACGGGAGAGTTGGACAACAACAAATAGATGCTGATATGCCTCATGGCTCTTAGCAGCAGTCAGTGATGTTCTAAAAGGAAAGATTTTAATTGTACAGTACATTCCCTTCTCCCCGATACAGTAAAAATGATGGTTTGTAGTGGGAACTTCAGTTGCTCTGCAAATCGCTGGAGGTTTTTGCTTGGTTTTGCTTCCAGGACCTGATTTTGCAACTGTTACGCAGGCAAAACACTCCAGCCTGACCTGATTGACTCTGCTGAAGATTTCAGAGCAAGGCACCTGAGCACACAAAGTTGCAAACACAGATGTGGATATAACTTTTTTTCCTTCAAAAAACACATGATGAGCACCTTCTGCCTTGGGATGTGATACTCACCTTGCTGTTTTCCTGTTGTTCTCAATTGGCACTTGGTATCCATTCTGCAACCAGAGAGAAACAGTACGATTTTTCATAAACAGCGTCATATCTTTGCATTCTCTGATCAAAGGGAACACAATTAGAACAGATGACATAGGAAACCACAATCCATTTTCTCAACAGTATAAAGTCGCTGAGGCAGGGGGAGCACAGTTTTTATTTCAGGCACGATACGCTCAGGGAAACTCTTGGCTGCTGTTACAGTTTTGCTTTGGGCTCATTCATTCATAGTTGCCTCGTGGCTGCAGTCTAAAATTTGTTGTATCTGTGGTGATGAAAAAGGGCTGTTTGAGAGCCCAGAGAGTATAGCAGGCCTGTGTTGTCATAGGTCTGGGTAGAGCATGGAGGTAGGAAGGAAGCTGCTTCGTGCTGCACATCTCCTGTGTGAGGCCCCACTTTAGTGCAGCTATCTTTAATCTGAACTCTCTTAGCAGGCCTGAATCTAGAGTGGGAAAATAGAAGAAATAACCCCAAAAGATGGCAATGTAATTAGCATCTTAGGAACTGTGAAGAACAGCTGCTGGCTGTGTGTGATCACAGAATGGAGAAATGAGCTGGGGCTTTCTGTGCAAATTCAGTAATACATTTCTCTATTACCTATTGTGATTAGTAAAATAACTCTACATTAGTAATAGTTATGTTTCCTTTGCCTCCTTTATACATAAGAAAATGGAATAATACCCAGTTCTCTTATAGATTAAGAGAACTTAAGATAAAGCATTTGTGCTGAGATGGTGGTCCCTTTGCCCTGAACCAGTGTGCAGGTGAACATTCCCTATTGTGTACGTCTCTGAACCTTCTTTGATACCCAGTCTCTGCATTTAGAAAGAAATTCTTCTTTACCTTGCCGTAACAGGATGGATACCTATTAAAAGTTTGGGAAGATGTGTTTTTGGAAGGATACACTTACTGTTTCATCTTGCATTCCATCTTACAATCATAAATTCCACCCATCACATCTTACTGTGGTACGTGCACATCCCATGCTCTAGATATATCTCACCTTTATTTACCCATTGCATTGTGTGGTCGCAGAGAAAAAGAATTTTACTATACAATTTGAACCATGAGAGCCCGTTTGCTTTGGGAGTTTCCTTGAGCTCTCATTTTGGGAGTTAGTGTCAAGGCTCTGTCTAGGTGTGAAGGTGTTGTAGTTGTCCCAGCCAGTCCCAGAGCTGGGAAGAGGTCAGGTCTGTGGA